TTGTTTGCCTTCTCCACAGTCCCACAGCTTTGACTTCCTGTGTTACCCACGGTTTGTTATTAGGGTAACACCGTACCGTCTTAGCAGGGGCAACCGTGTCCATACAAAAGTTGAGGTAGTCTGTCAGTGTGTCGCCCCCTCTATGTCCTCACCATGTGGGCTCAGAAGCACATCCCAGTCTGTGGTGTCATAGCAGTCCCTCATTACGAGCTGGATGATTATTCGTGGTGACAGCACGTAGTTTCAGGAAGGTGAAGTTCTGAGAGCCCTGCTGCAGTTATCTTTGTGATTGCACTTTCTTTTGTTCCTGTGAAAGTTATCTGAGATCTTTGCCATCAGCATGTCAGTTCTGTCTGCCTGTATTCTCACTACCAGCCGTTGCTGCCATTTATTGTCCACAATGAGTTTAAAGTCTGTGTCATAAAAGCACTTTTTATGTGTCAAGCTGTGGATGATCATTTGCTGGAGAATTACTGAAAGAACATTTATTTTTTATGAATAACCTTGTTGTTTACCTGAGTGAAATCAAATGGCTCAATAAAGCAGGGTTGAAAGCAGCAATTAAAAGTGTGACCTACAACAGCGGAGCAGCCTCACTCAGATTCACCCTGAACTCCACGGCTGTGTGAACATTTTAGGTTTATTGTGAGCTAAAGCTTTTTTATGTATGCACATCAAAACAACAAGAGATTTTAAAATTCAAAATGAGCTTGATTAGGATGTCTCGATGCATGCTCGATCGTGCAGGTAAGGAAATCCCCAGAAACTCTACAGTCAACGTTTTGGGAGCTAGATTAGACTTGAAAGTTTGATTACATGAGCAAAAATGACCCCAGCCCTGATACCAGCAACTCTGAGTTATGTACAGGACACTGTGACTGTTTTTTCCACTTTAACCAGTTTGGATTCATGACAATGCATTTAATTAATTCAGGACAAACTGAAAGCACAAAGGTGTCTGTTTGTCTGTAAACCAAAGATGGAGGGGGTCACTGTTCCTTATGAAATGAAAGTGTCATGTGAGTATTAGGTATTTTAATCTACTCACTTTAAAACACAAGTGTTTCATTAAAACTGAGAAACTGGGACTTTTTCCCGACTCTGGACTCTTTCAATGTACATTTTGACAAAATGTGACGAAAGAGAGTTTCCTGTTGTTTTAGTTTCCTGTTTGTAATTTCAGCTCTCTGTTAACTCACAGCACCAACAGAAGTCCCACAACAAACCTGTGGCTTTGCAGTGTCCGAGCAGACACTGTTGCCCAAACACTGAAGGACTCTTATCAAAGTCTACTGGACAGAAATACACCGAGGAGATACCTGCTCACTAAAATGTGACAATAAGTGTCACGTTCTGGGTCAGTATTTTGAGTTCTCGTGTTTGGTTTCATTTTGAATTTTGGATTGTATTCTTATTCGGATGCATTGTTGACCATTATTACAGGTTATTATTACAGAAGAAAGTGATACGAATGATTCATAACGTTAAATATAGAGAACATACAAATAAATTATTTATAAAATCTAAATTATTAAAATTAGGAGATTTAGTGAAATTACGGACACTATTAATTATGTTTAAGGCTAAAAATAATATTTTGCCCTTTAAGTTACAAAGAGTATTTTTATTGTGTTCAGGGGGAGACGATAGCAGAAGGAAACTTTATTTTAAGCATCAGTTAGCTAGGACTACACAAAGATTAATGAGTCCAACGGTTAGAGGTATACGACTGTGTAACTCTCTTCATTATAATTTAAAGAATTGTATAAATTTACATTGTTTTAAAAAGTGTTACATGCTTAAAACGATAACTCAATATGAAGAATGTGAATGAAATTGGAGTTCATTGAAAAAGGATCCATTATAATTTTTGTTTTATTTATTTTAATTTTTATTTTTTTTCTTTTTTGTTTTTTGGGTGGTTTATTCTGATTGTAAATGTGTTGTTTGGTTTGGGTTAGGACCGGAGATAAATGTTAATGTTAGTTTGTTCCCTGATTTTTGGTGCCCTTGTAATATAAATTGGATTGTAGATAGGGGGCGGGGTTAAAAAGAATATTTTCTTCTTCCTGCTCCTTTTCACACATGGTTGTAGTGCTTTTGATAGAAAGTGTGGTTGGTTTGTTTGATTTTTTTTGTACCAAGTTTGAAATAAATAAATGAATGAAATGAAATGAAAAGGTTTCTATTTATTCATGTTTAAGGATTTGTTCCTTGGTTGTGTCTCACGTTTTGTATAGTTCGAGTTGCATGTGTTATATTCTGTCTGCCTCTCAGTCTGCGTCCTTGTTTAGTGGTTTCTTGTTTCTTGTTTTATTGTGAAGGTCTGTGTCTCATGTCAGTGTGCTCAGCTCTGCTGCTCCTCTGTCTCGTTAGTCCAATCTCTCCCAGCTGTGTCTCCCTCCTGTTGCTCACTCCCTGATTACCACCCTGTGTATATTCGCCCTGTGTTTTCCTGTGCTCAGTGTCGCGTCGTACCCTCAGATCTTGCCTGTGTGCTCCTGTTTGGTTTCAGGTTTCTGTTTTTGTTTCGTGCCAGCAATACAAGCTGTGGTTTTCAGTCACATTTCGTCTCAGAGTCCTGCATTTGGATCCACATCTCCACACACAGCCCTGACAGTAAGATGGCCAGAGAGACTTTATTCGTACCATGACATGTTCCAAACATTGGACTGATGTCAGCACATATTTAACTTTTCAGGTTTTCTGTTTTTAGAAGATTAGGTGCTAGAACTCTGATTTTAAAAGCACACACCAGATTGTTGTCGACATCTTCAGGCTTATTTGTTTAATTTTGATTGAACCCTTTCCAGAGAAAATGAAACTGAAATAAAGAATGCTCAGTTCAGCTTTTGGGTTGTCAGATACAGACCTCGCGTTGACTACAGTATCCAAAATCTTTGGTTTTACTGCTCCAGGTACATCATCTTGTCCTACTGGAGATGTCTCGGGTGGTAGTAAAAAATAACTATTTATATAGCACTTTTTTACACAATGTTTAACGGTTTGGATTTTAAAAAGTGCATATTTATACATGCAGATGCAAACCTTCATGCATTACCACACACTCCTGCACACATACAAGGCTAATGGGCAAAAGAGAAGCTGAACCATGGAAATGAGTTTTGAAGCTGCAGAAAGCTGCTCCACAGTTTAGACACGACAGCCTCTGAAGCGTGATCACCTCTGGGTTTAAAACAAGACAGTGGCACAGTTCAGAGACCCTGATCAGATCATCAGAGAGGCCAGCTGCAGTCAAAGGGCTCATTAGCTGTACAGAGGAGCATGTCAGGCCTCATCAATACGATTTTCAAATGAAGGAAATAAAATGATAGTATTTCTTTCAATCAGTACAGAGGCCTTTTCTCTGCATGAACATCGTCTCCAGCTTTTATCAGCAGCACTAAATCAAGCACACAGTGTTTTATTCACTGCTGTTTGTTTATTGTGATGTAAATCTGGGACAATATTGTGAGTCTGCAACAAAGACTGGACTGACACAACATTTACACCTTACTTGTTGCTGCTGTTATCTTCTGAGTGATAAGCAACAGATAAGGAGCACATAAAGCAGCAGGCAGGGCATTTATGGCTTTTTCCACGTTCTACTTTTACAAGTTACAAATCTAGTTTATCATCATTAGAAACAGCTTGTCTTTCAGCACAATTATGATATAAATTACTGGACATTCAACGACATTTGAAACAAGCAGAACAAATGGCCTCTTCACACAGTTTGAGAAATACCGTGGGACGCATGTGTGAGGAAATCAAACCTTCTTGACTTGACGATTAAAACAAACCACAACGCCGATTCCACAGACGTTCACATGCTGTGTGAAACGTAAATGAATCTCATAAACCCGTTTTATTTACAATGGAAGACATATCGAATGTTTACAATGTCCCATTTTAACAAAATCACAGTCATTTGGAATTTGCTGGAAGGAAAACATCTTTAAAAGTTGTTACAAGGCCACGTTCACCAGTGCGTAGCATCCTTTTAACAGCAGTCAGTAAACATCTGTGAACAGATGTGATGAATAAAATGTTTTTAGTCGGTCTTGACTGCAGATGGGTCCGATCAGCACACAGGCCCTTCTGAGGCCCAGTTCACATTGTCCTGCTGAAATGCACCAATCAGGAGCATGAAGTGTGATGATTTCTTTCTACATGGTGGGACGAATATTCAGCGAGCCTCTTTAATGACTGAAAAACAAGAAACAGGTGCAGAAAGGTTTTGTTGTGTTTTTACCCATGTACATCAGCTGTGTCGTACTTTCTAAAATATCACCTTAAAACTCTTTGCACCCGTTATGTGAATTTATAATGTTCACAACCGATGTGGTCAATGATTGTGAACTTAAACAACCAATGATGACTCTTCAGTTTGGTCTACTGATAGAAATGAGGCCCAATGAGTGGAAAGTGATTGTAATTCAGGGGGTTTTGACCGCTGCACTGTGGCTTATCATTCAGCATGATGTGGCATAACAAAGACTGGACTGAGCCATGTTGTTCTGGTCATGCACACAGATAACACATTCATGAAGAAAATTTAATTTCTAACCTCTAATTTTATAGTGACTCTCCATCCCTGCTGACTAAGAAGCTGCTGATTTAAAGCTGCACACATGTGAACATGTAATATGTTTAACTTTAATGCCATAGTGTGAGCGTGGTTTAACTTTTTAGATACTGACAAACCTGCTTCCTGCAGCACACACACCAGGCGCACAAAGGCCTTTAAAGCCGTGTCCCCTCCTAACATGCTACTTGAGTTTATCCGATCCTGTTTGTGCTGTCCACATCCTCCGTCTACTAAAAGTTGCAGGTTATCAGTGAGAACAAAGGTCAAGGCAGACATCCAGCATTTGTAATCCTACTTGAAAGAATGACATCATCGTCATTGCTGTTAATAATTACAGCTGTGATAAGTGGCAGAGATGGTATTTATTGGTGGCACGACCGTCTGAGACCCCAGTTGATTTGTAGGATCTGGAGCAGGAGGAAGAGACGGTGGAAGCTTCGACACAGACCGGGACGCTCTCAGGTATGTAGGACGAGCTGCTCTGCATATACGTACGTGTTGGAAAGTAAAGAGGGAACTGTGGGGAAGTGAGGACTGCTAAAACTCAAACCAAACTCTCTGGTCTTTCTTCAACCTGACAATCTCACCCTCTGGGACGACGCACGCTCTGAGCGGCCTTATGTGCTCTGTCTTGTGTTTGGGGGTCTGGACCTTTGCTGCTTTCTGTTAATGTGCTTTGATAAGTGATGTTCAAAGGAAGGACGGGATCCTTTTGCTAACCTGATGTGATTAATGGACCTCAGAGCCACACAGAGAGGAAGCAGGCGAGATGATGCGCCCGGCAGCTCAGCAGTACGTGGTGACCAGGCCGCTGTACTCGGAGGAGTCCTTCGCTCAGGACCATGAAAAGATCTACAGGCACCGCAAAACTATGCTGGACCACATCAAACAATATTTCACGTAAGCAACATGTCAGACTGTTTGCTGTGTTTCCTGTTTGGTTCCTGTGATCACTGAATACAAACCTACGATCCAGACGACGCAAAGGTTTGATGAACTGTGGAGATTTCAGCAGCAGCTGCTCTTATTTCCATCAACACTTGAAGCTTGTTTGGCTCAGTTTACACAGGTTACGTTTATAGTGATTAAGGTCTGACGAGACACTTTACCTGATACAAGAACATTATGTGTTTATATGTAAAAGATCTGTGTATCCTTAGATTAGCTTTGGTGCTCAGTCCATATGTACAAAATATACATTTTACATTAGCTTTAAGTCTGAAACTTTTGAAAATGAAATAAGCAATCAAGATTATTTGTTAACCTGCAGCATCTGTGCAGCATGCAAACAGGGTTAGGGCAGCTATTGGCCGAGGTAACTGATCTGTGACATGAAGACTGTCACTGATGTCCAGACGTTTGAAAAATGATATTTACTGAGTGTTTAAAATGGTGACACACTGGCAGGCCTGTGCTTCTACACTGTAACTATGATTATAGGCATTAACAGCTGTTGGCTATTTATCCACTTGGTGCTTTGTGTTTTTTGCCTTTTTAACAGTTATCAATGGTATGTTTACAAGAACGAGAGATAAAAGTATTTAGATGCTTTGCTTTCAGCTGCAATTCTAACAAAGGTGATGCTTTATCTATTTTAATGTCACATATGGCCGTCTCTGTGGACACTTTCAAAACCGGAAGCGGAAAACTTTTATTCCTTAGCTTTAAAATCTGAATGAGTTTGTACTTTATTTATCTTATTTCTTACTCAAATCATTTTATGATTCTTTTTCTTAACTTCTCATTACTTTAAATGCAAAGCACCTTGTTGTTGTTTTAAATGTGCTCTATAAATAAATTTGCCTGGACTTCTGTTTGTCAGTGTGCCAGGCGCAGTAAGCAGAACAGCTATAGCACTGATGCATCTTATTAACAGACAGTTATTAAGTTCATAAGTTAAACTTTTCAGACTTGGTAATGGTTCATCTATACATGCTGGTCTTGATGATTCACCATTCACCCATTTCCAGTTATGGCCACAGCCTATTTACTCTTTTTCTTTCCCTGAAAGAGTTTCTGTTATGTTGTAAGAGAAAAATGACAGGATGAGTGTGTTTATTTAAAAAACAGAGAAAATAAATTACAAGACTAAATCCTGGATGACTTAAAACACTGCAGAGCAACTGATATTGACGTGGTCAGTGGCCAGTGTTTATGTAATATTAATTAATGTATAATGAATATAATAGTAGCTTAATATAATATAATATAATATAATAGCTGAATATTTCTTCATAATCTTTTTATATATTTTGATTGTAAAATCCTAGGTTGGTAGAAGGTGTTTAAATACACAGAGTAAATAAGATTATCGAAAACAACAACAAAAGGATACAA